GTTATATTAACAATTTAATGTAACTCAGTATAGCCAATCTGCCCAAATTTTGGTGAAAAGGGCTAGTAGGTTGTGCATACCAAGGTTTATATAAAGTGAAGGTGAATACGTTTAAGATATAATGCCTACCACATAGAAAAGACCCCATGACAATAGATATACAGGAAAAAAAAGTGAATTACATAGAAATAGAAATGTTCAGAGAAAGGAGATTAATTATATGCATGTACGTGATGATTGGGGAGCTTGTCACATAAACCATGTAATTGGTTGCTTAAATGCATTTAAAAACCAGAAGAGCTGAAAAGTACTGGAACGGTTTATTGGAAAGATCAGATATTAATAAGTAGATTTACTGCACCAAACAGATACGTAAAACACACTTCAAACAAGAGATAAGAAATAAAGTTCTTACCGTGTTTTCACTGAAGGATGACTTAGCAATGGGCACAAGGGGTAATATATCAAAAGTTCTGGAAGAAAATACAATCATAGAAGTTGCCAATGTGAATAGAGAACGACGACGTGATGGTGGTAGTGAACCTGCAGAAGAATGAAGCACCATAAATCTTGTTCATGAGCTAGAGTTACAATACAAACGCCAGTGTCTTTTCAATGAAAGTTACATGTAGTGAGGCACGTGAATGAATGAATGCATACTGTACAGACATGTAGTGAGCTACAAACTTCCTAATATACCTACTCTCAAGTATTTCAAGTGCTTCACCAATCGTTAAATAAAATTAACATTAAACAAACATGACACTTGAATTCCTGAAACACAACAGCTAGAACAAAGTCTAAGTGGACAGCAACAATTTTTTTATTACATTTATGTAGATTTGGCACTTTGCAAATCTACTCTCAACTATTGCTACTACTTTACCAAACATGTTTAATAAAATTAACATTAAAAACATGACACTTGAATTCCCGACAAACAACAGCTAGAACAATATTTTAGCGGACAGCTATAAATTTTTATTAACTTCAAATTTAACAGTTTAATCAACCAGCTGTGAATGCATCTCTTACATAAATGCACGCACCATTGGGTCAGACCAATGGTCATAGATAAAAACATAAGCCTTGAATTTTAACAAATATACAATGTGTCAGCCACTGAAAATCTTTCAATTCCGAACATTGTGCACAGCTAAACATGTGTACTTTTCCCAATATATGTATATTCGTTGAATACATTGTAAATATTAGATTGGTACTTGTATCCAAAAGATAATTCATAAGAAATTTAATTTAATAAGACAATAAGCTCTTGATAAATGAGACAACTCTTTAGAATTTCAGGTGCTATAAGGTGTGCACATTTATAGGTGCCGTGCAACATTATTAAGCTTGGGTAGGAAGCGTCTAATCTATCATACACTGATTTAATTAGGGAATCATTGTCATCTGTCTCTGCCTTATATCAAGCCTCAGTGATCAACGCAAGTTCCTATTCAAACCCTATCATCCTTCTGCTCTCTTCTATAGACTCTCCGCTAGGAGATTTTGGAGGCTTTCCCTTTGTTGCATGATCTTAATTTTGATAAGGAGGAAAATACTTATTGTTACTTTCCATCTGGACAGCTAAAGCTAAGTACACCTATAAGGTTAATGCAGTTTGCAAACTTATAAAATATTCTAGAATCTACTCTCAACTATTCCTACTACTTTACCAAACATGTTTAATAAAATTAACATTAAAAACATGACACTTGAATTCCTGACAAACAACAGCTAGAACAATATTTTAGCGGACAGCTATAAATTTTTATTAACTTCAAATTTGACAGTTTAATCAACTAGCTATGAATACATCTCTTACATAACTGCACGCATCATTAGGTCAGACCAATGGTCATAGATAAAAACATGAGCCTTGAATTTTAACAAATATACGATGTGTCAGCCACTGAGAATCTCACAATTCCAAACATTGTGCACAGCTAAACATGTGTACTTTCCCCAATATAAGTATATATATTGTATACATTGTGAATATTAGATTGGTACTTGTATCCAAAAGATAATTCATAAGAAAATTGATTTAATAAGACAATAAGCTCTTGATAAATGAGACAACTCTTTGGAATTTCAGGCGATATAAAGTGTCCACATTTGTAGGTGCTGTGCAACATTATTAAGCTTGGGTAGGGAAGTGTCTAATCTATCATACGCTGATTTAATTAGGGAATCGTTTTCCATCTGTCTCTGTCTTATATCAAGCCTCAGTGATCAACGCAACTCCTTATTCAAACCTTATCATCCTTCTGCTCTCTTCTATAGACTCTCCTCTAGGAGATTTTGGAGGCTTCCCCTTTATTGCATGATCTTAAATTTGATAAGGAGGAAAATACTTCTTGCTACTTTCCATCTCGAGAGCAAAAGCTAAGTACACCTATAAGGTTAATGCAGTTTAATCTCTTCTGCAACAATCAGTCTAGTTGACAGGTACTGCTAATGAACCCATGAATAGGAAAGGTACAAGGTTTACATTAACAAAATATTTGCTTATAACTCAAGAAAACACAATGGTTCAAATAGGCCAGGGAACTCATTTATTCAAACTCTTGTCAAAAGAGAAAGTAAAACAATGAACAACCAGTCGTGAACTGATTCAATAGATATGATATTATTTTCATGTGAAACGTTCTCTCATCTCCTTTTCCAATTTCTTTAAAATCATTTCCTGTTATCAAAATGTTCCCATAAAAGAGGGATAACAATGTAGTCTTAAGTTCCCAACCCGTATCTTTACTGAGAACACACTCTTCCAACATACATCCATTTGCTTCTGTCACACAAACATTGTCCTTGATAATATCTTCTTCCCCCAAAGGATGATATTCACCTTAGACGGCAAACCAATTATCTCGGTGGCAACTTATTGCCTGGGCTACTTAACATGGTCACTTTGGAGGTTTTGATCTCAAAAGACAAGTGATTTAATTGATTTATCAACTTGATGTTTCACAGAAATTGTTGAGATACTAGATCTTCTTTCTACAATTTGATTCCTGCATGCAACATCTCCATTTCAATTGAGATTGATGTAGCTCTTTTTCATGCAAATGAACATGCAAAATATCATAATATAAAATTCAAAATGATGCTCTAGTACCAAACTATGATTCCAAGTAAATCAACTATCTGATCTATATAACAACAAAATCTAGGATCTGAATTTCCAGAATGCCACAAAAAGGTTTCCATTAAAAGAAACTAAGATAGGCATTTAGTTAAGGTCCCTAACCATGTATCCAATGACCCCCCAATCCCACCCCCCCCAAAAAACCTCCTGCCCCCAGAAAAAAAACTGTCTACACCTTGTTCCGTTTTACCTTACTCATCAAATCACCCTGTTTTCTAATTGGGTCAGTTTCCATATTAGGGAGGTGACATCTAGCTGAACAGTAGAAGGTAGATCTGCTGATAGGAAAGATAATATAACAGAAGAGGTACAGGTACAACATATACAAACTCTTGAAAACCTTAGTCAACAGCCAAAGCCAAAACGCTCTCAAAAGCCTTAACTAACAAGCCCCTGAATTATTCCAATTGAACGATATATTTTAATATTCCAAATCTAAACAGAATGAATAGGAGGATTTAAAAAAAACGTATTAACCATTAATGCATATCATTTTCAAGACAAGTAGTCAACATCATTGCCATATGGTTTTACTCCAATTTATTTAACACAACAAGAATTCACTATAATAGTTATTTCAAAATCATAAAAAGGAGAAACTTGTGAAACAACGTATCATTTAAAAGTTTTTCACAAGGAGAGATCATGACAAGAAGATTATTTGTTAGTAGAGAGTAATTCTGTTGGTATAGACTGCATGCCAGCTGTATTCTTCTAGAGGAAAAAGTTGAACGCAAAACTTGAAATATACCTCCAAGTGAAATGTTTCTTAAAGAAAATGCAAGCTGAAAGCTCCGAACTAGAGCCTCACGAGAGGAACCCTGCATCAACAGTAGTAGGAAAATGAGAAATCTGCTGAAAGTAACACATTAAGTAGTATTTGCCAATGCTAGATAGATCAAAAGCTGTACGCCACAAAGAGGGAAGGAGTAAAAAAATACAGCATCCATTGTGTAACTACTGAACTTTCACTTTCATCTAGAGTTTCTGTCGTTTATTACAAACTATTAACAATGGAAAAAGGAATGTCAATGAGAAGCCTTCAAACTTTCCTAGAACTCACAGTACATGTTATAGTGTCACCAACAGAAAATTAGACCAAGTAACAGAAGTGTAGTATGTATGTATGTATGTATGTACGTGCTTGTGTGTATGTATGTATTTATGTATGTACACAATATGTATGTATGAAAAGATACAACAATAGAAAAAACCTTCATAGGAATTTATAGAGGTCGAAAAATCTCCTTGATATTTATGTGGCACAAACAGAGGTTAAAAGGCTTGAGGTTTTGACAAGCTTTAGTAAGCATGTGTCAGGATAAGAAATGGTCCTGTAATAAAATCTGAACCACCAAGAAGTTTCAACATTACCACAAGTCCGCATATCCCTCTGGATATGCAGCTATGGTAAATGTGATGTTCTAAATAACAACAAGGATATGAAACATTAAAACTCTGTTCCCACTACTTATGTTCCTTTGTACATCTGTTGAGAGGATGAAGAAGGAAGCAATCATACAATCCTGAATTGGCAAGATATTGAAGGAAATACATCACATGGGAATGTTTCTTCAGTGAGGTAGTAAGAAATGAACATATATTTTTATGGTTCAGTAATGCATCAAATTTTTCAGTGATATCATGACTTCCCATATTCTATATTAAGATCCAAAGCAGCATTCAGGGTGACAGAACCATAACTCCAGGTATCCGTCACACCAGACTAATACCTGAAAGAATTCGTGCAAGCCAAATGCATTTAGTAAAATATACTGATAATATTAAGACTTTCAGTATGTATTGACAACAGATACAAATCATCTATGTGCGACACAAGATGATGAAGATAGTAACATCAACTTTGAGATTATTAAGTATTTGCACCTTTGATCGAGAGAATAACAATGTCAGACAGTAAGTATGAGAAATAGCTTCATAGTTCTCTGGAGTATTTCCAGGAGAGATGGCCTGAACCCATATGGATGAAAGCATAAGTGTAATCTGACGACTAGTCAACCTAAGAGAAGTTGGGTCCTGAAAAAAAAGTCAAGTTGTTGTGAGGCATGAAGAAATTTTCAGAAATTCTACCGTTATCAGATTGTATCTCAATCCTAAACAGAATAAGTTATACCATGTCCCGGCATGAATTGCTCAAAGGATTTTCTCCTTCATTTGTGGCTAAGGAAACATCCTTCAGGGTAAGAATTCGGCTTTGAGATGGCTTGAATTGGTAAAGCTTCACATCATTACTACCAATTTGCTGTCTGCTGTGATCAGTATTAGACATTGAATCGAAACTGTCCTGGGGAACACTTCCTCGCAAAGAATACATTTCCCTTTTGAGCTTTCCAAACAGAGCAGCTGATGATGAAAACACAGAAACAGTCCTTGAAAGTGTTCTCCGAAGTTCATTTGTGTTGGGATCTGCTGTAGTTGCACAAGGTTGAGGACATACAGAAGATGGAACAAGAACAACAGAAAAAATGCGGTGAGCACCCACATGAATATCACGATCAGGGTGGACCATTACTAAGAGCAGATGGTGAAACAGTGCTTCAGGAAAAGCCTGCAATGTGCAAGGGATACAACTTTCATATAATCAAGAGTAGTAACAAATAAATGCGTACTTTACAAGAGAAACATATTTCAACTAGCAATTTTTGTTTCATCACTTGCCTTATTCTGATAAGTTGGATTTGGTAATGACGTGATTATTTGAGCAGTACGATAAACAGCAGAGACAGTTGCCCTAGCAACTGAAACATTAGTGGAGATATTTTCCAACATCACAGCCATCATGTCAAGAACAGGCCCTGCTTCGCCAATCTGAATAAAAAGGAAACATCATATCACGGTCTTCATTAGTTAAATATCCAATAGTTGACACTCAATATAAAGAAATATAGCATGCAAAAGATTTTCCCTATGCACCATTCATCTATAGTCAAAAGCAGGAAACTCAAGGTACCATCTAACGGAGATCGCTATAATCTACATGAATTTTTTTCCCGAAATATTGTCGGAAAAGCATTATCGCCAGTCGTGAGCTCTATACCTTTTTAGACAACTGAACAAGGCACTCATCTACTGCTTCTCTAAATTTATTGTTCCATCTGTCATTCTCCAAGTTTCCATTACCAACTGTGCACTGCATGCTTTTCTGCAGCTGCCTGACCAAATCCGTTATTGCACCGGATACAGCAAAAGAAGCCTCGGATTTTGACTGAGAAGCAAGGCAAGTGGTAACTTCAACTATGTTTAGCTGCATGTCAGGTTGTTTTAAGACAGTCTTGTGATCAAGATGCTTTATCAAAATAGATAACAGTAAATTTGTGTCTTGCCCTGAAAGAACGAAAATCAATGGGTAAAATTTATTATATAAAGAAATTGGATCAGCATAAGCCTGCTAGCCAAAAAAAGGGTTATGAATTTTTTTGTAAATATAGTATATCGCAATAAAAAAAAGAGCCATAAGTTCTTACCAGACTTTGTCATTTCAATTTGCACATCCAGCAAGACAAAAAGTGCAAGTCCATTTTGAAGTGACCAAAGTTTGTCATCGTCAAAATAACGAAACAATGAATCCAAAACGCGACGTATAGTTGTGGCCTCTTTGGCTAGCATCGCCATGTTATGCACACAGACTCTGGACCAAAAGTGAGGACTCTTGGACTGTTCACTGGCAGTTTAAACAAATAACAATGAGTGTCAAGGTGAAAATAAAACATTTTAATGATGGAGTACTAGATGGAAAATCTTACATAGATATGTTAAGCTCTCCTCCATCATTTACAATGTCTTTCCAAGAAGGGATTTGTGGCATGGCACCGAGGGATGGAGATGCATGACCTCCAGTTTGAAGGACCTCTTGCACCCATTTTCTCTGGGAGGCATCACCATCTTCAGATTTCTTATGAGGGCCTTCATAATTTTCCAACACTACTGTAACAACCTACAGCCATCAAACAAGTTGAGGTCATTAAACCGATAGAATCTCTCTTCCTTACATAATAGAGTCCTCTAGTGAGGACCTTATAACACAAAAGAGTAAATTATGAGGGTAAAAATTATGGCTCTAATACATCCACTTATCTTACTATTTACATTAATATTCTTATTGAATTCAACTGGAGTCCTTCTAACCAACTACCATTGACTCATACAATTCCCATGTTTTTAAATGAACATACAATATCATTTAAATGGAGTCCTTGTTCTAACCCACTGCCATTGATTCATACGATTTCCATGTTTTTAAATGAACATAAAATTTTTAAATATTCATACAATTACCAATTTTAAATTGACATTCTTATCGAATTCAACTGGAGTCCTTACAACCCCCTACTGTTTTCATAAAATTTCCCTGTTTTTAAATGAACATAGAAAAGGATGTAGCAAATCAAGAAAGTTTTGGCTGCTAACAAATTTTCTAATTAAAAATATTAACTTTTGCAAAAAGAAATAGAAATAAAATTATTCCAGCAAAAGATGCAATTAAATCAATTATTTGGTACTTCTGTTTCATACCTGAATTAAGTTTTCAATTGGAACTTCAGAAAAAAAAATGCAAGAGGAACTTTATGTGTTTGTTAACTAACACATGTCTCATAGAAAATAGAACTCACTTAAATATATGTTATGTCAGCTCAAATAGCCAAAGTCAATCATAACTGTGATAAGTAAGACCAACTACAAATATTACGAACTCTTATCTACCTTCAAATTCAGCATAAACCATACAACTCCTTTTCTATTCAAGGAAACTAATAGAGAGGTGTAATTGGTGTCTGGCTCATCAAAATGGATTCTAAGATAGGCTAGTATATGCGGCTGGTGAGTTAGAAGTGAAGCATTGTTCTCTCAATCTTTCTAGATTCACAGAGACCTACTAGGTTTTACTTTTGACTGTGGACTGTCTAATGTAATCCTTCTTATTAAAAGCTCGGACTGCCAGCAGAAGAATAAAACGCATACCACTGTGAATCATCATGTTCTCTCAATAGGTATTACCATCATTTAAAAAAGAAATATATTGAAGTAGTACCTCCAGTCAAACAGATCATGTCTATTAAGAGTATATTAGCTTGTCAGGAAACAAAGCCTCTTCCCCATAAGAGCAATGAGTGAGGTGTAAGTATCTTAAGTTCACTAGCAAAGCACTGTTTTGGCCTGATCGCTAAGGCATTTCATTTCCAAAGTAAGGAGAGTCTTGAAGCAAATCTGCCCTTATTCATCCACCAATTTTCCATCTATCTTCATCTCTTTGAAACTGTTGACATTAGTAATATATGTAGGGGGTTATGTGTAAGTTGTGTAGGGCCTATATAAGCCCAAGAGATCTCATAATAGGGTTAGAGTTTGTATTATCAACTTGGTATCAGAGCTGCCCCCCCTCTCCTCTCCTAAGCCTGACGTCCGCCCGCCTTACAGGCCGGCCCGAGCCCCGCCCCCCCTCCTCACTTCGTCGGCAGCCCAGCCCCCAGCACCGATCCCCCCCCAGGCCCCCTTCGTCGGCAGTCCAGGCCACCCCCCACTTCGTCGCAGCCCAGCCCCCCCAGCCAGCTGATCCCGCCTCCTAACCCCCCCCCCTCGTCAGCAGTCCCGACCCCCCCCGCCTTCAGTTCCGACCCCCTGCCGTGTTTTTTTTTGTTTTGTGCAAGCCGAGCCCCCCACCTTCCCTGTTTTTGCTGCCGCAGCAGGCGCCGACCCGTTTGAGGTTCTCAACCCCCCCGCTTCACCATGCTGGACCTCGAGTTTGGCATGGTTCCCGTCGACTTCAAGTCCTCGAACTGATGGACAGGAAGAGTATATATCTCCACACGATGAGAATATATAACTGTTTTGGATTCTAGTTTCCTCTGAGAAAGCGAGAAATTTTCGGAGACGATCTTAACTCTTGTTGTGCAGGGCAGAAGTGCGCGTGAAATCTTCACTGCGCACGAACAAGGGTTTGACGAACAGTGTGTTGATCTGAAGCTTGTATCGATGGAGGAGATGACAATCAAAGAAAGTCGTGACCACTGCGGAGGTGGTCAACTTTGATGAAGTGTGATGAAGTTGTCCGCTGATGAAAGCGAGCGAGCAAGGACGCATTCAAAGAAGTTGGAGGCTCCAACCATCGATCTGAAGCTTGAATGGACTGCAAAGTACTTATCTGAGTTGGTCAGCTGACGGTGAGATACACCCTTGCAGGAAGGACCTGGAGGGGTACTTGACTGGAGAAAAGACAAGAACCGGATAAGGATCGGGAGGACGGGATGAGTGAAGTCGCACTAATATGTTGGTGCGTAGCATTCTGGCTTACTCACTCGTTGGTGCCGACGATGCGTGCCGCCACAAGTAGATGCATTGAGAAGTAAGGACGTCTGGGAGAGATTGAGGAGACATATGATGGAGTGGGGAATAACCTGAGGGTGTTCCAGATTAAAGGAGAGATTGACGCCACAGTCCAGGGAGAGAGGACTGTACAAGAATATGCTACAGAGCTGGAGCGTCTGTGGCTGGATTATGATCATTTTTCCCCCTGGGCGAGCTGCAAGGACCCAGGATGTAAAGAGCGGGAGGCCTTTCTACAGGAGAGGACTATGGTGTTTCTTTAGGGATTGACATCAGAGTTCACTCAGCGAATTGCATTACTGCTAGCTCAGCCGAAAATTCCCTCGCTTGAGGAGGCTGTCTCGGCTATGATCCAGGAGGAGACTCGCATTAAGCTGCAGGCGGGGACAGGTGGACTTCCTGTGGTGAAGTCAGCTTTAGCAGCATCTAACAATAATGGATCCAGGGGAGAGACTCGGCAGTGCTACAACTGCGGTGAAGTGGGTCATCTAAGGCATGCTTGCACCAAACCACCCAAGGAAGGAGATTCGGGTGGACGTGGACAGTTCGGAGGGCGTGGTCGTGGCCGTGGGGGTCGACGAGGTGGAAGGGGAGCAGGCAACCGGGCGAATCTGATGATAGCAGAAGGAGGAGAAGAAGCTGAGGTGATCTTTACTGAGGAGGATCAGGCGCTCCTGGCGATACTCAGGAGAAAGCAGCAAGTAGCAGGGGATGGAGACAGGAGGAGTGGGACAGAGGAGGCATCCACATCATTCTTCGTCAGAGGCAACACTGCTACCTATGCTCATCCGACCAAAGGTACTGATGACATACATGCTCTTGCTTCCATATCTTCCGACAAATCATCAGAATGGATAGTCGACTCCGGTGCGTCTCGACATGTGACAGGTAATGCTAGTGAGTTCTCATCATATACTCACCTAGCATCGCCTGATAGTATTCAAACAGCTGATGGTACATTTCAGCCAGTGGTTGGTAAGGGTACAGTCGATTGTACAGGTTCTGTAACTCTGTCCAATGTTTTGCATGCTCCTTCCTTTCCAGTCAACCTTTTATCCATTAGTGCTATCATCCTTCAACTAAAATATATTGTTTCTTTTGATATTCCCAAGGTGATCTTTCAGGAGAAGGGGACAGGGCGGAGACTTGGGACTGGCACATGGCGTAGTGGACTGTGGTATTTGGATCGTGAAGGACTGGATTCAGCATTGGTGTCAATGATAGAGAGAGTAGAAGTAGGATCTGAGATGAGTGCTGAGAGTGTGTTGATGCTTCATCACCAGCGTTTGGGACACTCATCTTTTAATGTTTTAAGTAGGTTGTATCCATCTCTATTTGAGAAAGCAAATAAGCAGCACCTTGTATGTGATGCATGTGAGCTTGGAAAACTTACTAGAAGTTCTTACGTAAGTTCTGGTCATAGGAGTTCTCGTGTATTCGAACTGATACATTCAGATGTTTGGGGACCTTGTTCTACAAGTTCTATGAATGGATACAAGTATTTTGTTACTTTTATTGATTGTTTCTCCCGCGTTACTTGGTTGTACCTGATGAAAAATAAGAGTGAAGTGTTTGGTTGCTTTCAAAATTTTCATAGGTATGCTCAGACTCAATACGGCGCTGTGGTGAAGGTATTAAGATCTGATAATGGGACGGAGTATACTAACAAAACGTTTGGGGAATACTTGTCAGCTCAGGGAATACAACACCAGACTACGTGTCCATACACACCTGCTCAAAATGGAGTAGCGGAAAGAAAGAATAGACATCTTTTAGAGGTTGCTAGAAGTATGATGATCTCTATGAATGTCCCAGAAACATTATGGGGACAAGCAGTGTTGACCGCGGCAGCACTAATCAACAGAATGCCCTCGAGAGTGCTGGATTGGAAGTCTCCGTGTGAGACATTAAAGGGAGATAATGGTGGGATTCTTCCACTTAAAGTGTTTGGCTGTGTGTGCTTTGTGAAATGAAGACGACGAGGAGATTGAGACAAGAGGTGTTAGGCCAACGGCTCAGGGAGAACTACTTACCTATAGTAGGAAGGGGCAACAAATTGCGAGAACAGTACCAACAGTACCTACAGTGCCACTGGTGCCAAGTCCCTTGTCAACGCCTGAACCGACTCCTGAGACACCTACACCACCACAAGATTCCTCTCAAGGTGACTCCATTTCTCTTCCTATTCCTCCCACACCAATAACTGTACGGAGGACTACTCGCAGTAATGCGGGAAATCCTCCCGATAGATATGGTTGGGATCTTGCTCAGTTTGTATCATATTCTAACATCCACCCTACACATGGAGCATTCATTGCATCACTGGACTCTGTTACTATACCTAACAATTGGCAGGTTGCAAAGAAGGACCAGAAATGGAAAGCTGCTATGCACGAAGAGCTAAGGGCCCTTGAGAAGAACCGCACTTGGGAGTTAGTAAAACTACCAAAAGGAAAGAGAGCAGTTGGATGCAAGTGGGTCTTCACTGTGAAGCAGAATCCAGATGGACAGGTTGAGCGCTACAAAGCTCGTCTGGTGGCAAAAGGATATAGTCAGACATACGGCATCGACTATGATGAGACTTTTGCACCAGTAGCGAAGATGAGCACTGTTCGAACCTTGATCTCTCTGGCAGTAAATGGTGGATGGAAGCTACACCAATTAGATGTGAAGAATGCATTTCTTCATGGAGATCTGGTGGAAGAGGTATACATGGAAATTCCGCCAGGATTCAACACAGAACAGACAGTGGGCAAGGTCTGCAGATTGAAGAAGTCTCTATATGGCCTGAAACAATCTCCTCGTGCTTGGTTCGACAGATTTAGGCGGGCTATGATAGGTATGAGATACCGACAGATTAACGCTGATCATACCGTGTTCTTCCGACGAAATGAAGGTCACATCACTGTGCTTGCGGTATATGTGGATGATATGATCATTACAGGGGATGATGAGGAGGAGATTGCCAAACTCAAAGTGAGACTGGGTAAGGAGTTCGAGGTGAAAGATCTTGGCTTGCTTCGATACTTTCTTGGAATAGAAATAGCTCGCGGAGCGGAGGGGATTGTCTTATCCCAGAGAAAGTATGCACTGGATCTTCTTAAAGAGACAGGGATGTTAGGGTGTAAACCTGCAACTACACCGATCGACCAGAAGTTCAAGCTGGGTGCTGAGGCTGGAGAACCAGTTGATCGTGACAGATACCAAAGGCTGGTAGGGAGGTTGATCTACCTGAGTCACACACGTCCCGATATCTCTTTTGCAGTGAGCGTGGTGAGCCGCTACATGCATGATCCAAGGAAGGGTCATATGGACGCTGTGTACCAGATTCTGAGATATCTGAAGAGTGCCCCTGGAAAGGGACTGATATTCAGGAAAAATGGACATGTGAGCATCGAGGGTTATTGTGACTCTGATTGGGCTAGCAGTGCTGATGACGGGAGGTCCACCTCGGGATACTGCATCTTTATAGGAGGCAACTTAGTCTCGTGGAAGAGCAAGAAGCAATCGGTGGTGGCGAGATCAACAGCTGAGGCAGAGTATAGAGCTATGGCCTTAGGAGTTGCTGAGTTGTTATGGTTGAAGAGTATGCTGGTTGAGCTGAAGCTGGATCAAGGAGCTAAGATAAAGTTATGGTGTGATAACAAGTCAGCTATCAGTATCGTCAACAACCCAGTGCAGCATGATAGAACCAAACACATCGAGATCGATAGGTTCTTCATCAAAGAGAAGTTGGATAGTGGACTACTGGAGCTAAGTCATGTTTCAACTAAGGACCAGGCAGCAGATTATCTGACTAAAGGACTTAGCTCATTAGACATGATTAGAGGATGTGACAAGATGGGCTTAGTGGATATCTTTCGCCCATCTTGAGGAGGAGTGTTGACATTAGTAATATATGTAGGGGGTTATGTGTAAGTTGTGTAGGGCCTATATAAGCCCAAGAGATCTCATAATAGGGTTAGGGTTTGTATTATCAACTGAAACTATATACATATAAGTACATGGTCTACTCATACGCACAGACAAGCACACATATGCAGATAACAGCAGGATTGACATAAGTAAAGGCCATCAGCTAATTCACAAGTAGATTCAAAATTCTGCTCCAAATAATAATGCAGTACCTCATTCTTTGGAATCAACTGCTAGTATTAATCAAGATGATTAAAAAAAACCACATATTAATCATTGGAATAATATAAGATGGTAAGACAATTCTAACAGTACAATAATATAAGGTAGTAAGATAATTCTAGCAGTAGTGAGAAATGTAACAAGATATTGGAATAATGTAAGGTAGTAAGATAATTCTAACAGTACAATTTAGTTACCCTCATATAGGTAACAGCGTCAAAATTAGCTTACATTGTCAAATTCTGCAGAAATATGAGAGTGTTCCCCCATAAACCAAACCTGTAAAGCATTGAGAAAACGACGACAAATATATGTCACAACTAACTGCATAGGAATATGTCTACAACCAAGAAACAAACGATATTGATGAGAAAGATAAACTCATAAACTGTACAAAACCAAAACCTATGAATGTTTTGTGAAAATATGAGTTTTGTGCTGCAAGGTAAATAACATTTTTGGAAATTACCTACCAAATAATGCGAAGCATTAAAATATACCGTGATTAAGTTTTGCATTATCTATTATGTTGAAAAAGTGTCTTGATCCAGAGGGGAAATAGTAAGCCTTATTCACAGGAAATAAAATGGCTGGAATTACATAATCTTTGAATGTGGAAGTAAATAAATTTCTCAAACTTCAATAATATCCTAACATCCACACTAATCCTGCAGTTGGAGCATATATATTAATCATGGCTCATCTTGGTAGAAAAACTAGAACTTAAAACTAAGTACCACATCTGCAATCTGAGAACTCCCATCAGATAAGTCTATGGGAGCACTGAACCCCACCCCACAACCCTCAAAAAAAAAAAATTACATGCACGCGCGCGCAGACAAACACACACACACAGAAGGTGGGGGGTGGGGGAAGTAATAATAAGGATGGATAGATAAATTAAGATCTCAGTAACACATCTGACATATGTGATGTGAACTCACAAGAGATCGATAAATTAAGATCTCAAACCCCCACCCCACAAAAAAAAAAAAGAGAGAGAGAGAGAGAGAGAGAGAGAGAGAGAGAGAGAGAGAGAGATCAGTAATAATCAGGATATATGGATAAATTAAGATCTCAGTAACCCATCTGCCATATATGTGATGAACTCACAAGAAGAGATAAATTAAGATCTCAATAATATTAAGGATAGAGATAGGGAAACATGCATTTACTGGGAAAAAAATACCATTGAAGAAAGGGCTTCAAGCCCTGCTGCACGCAGGCGGACTGCCATATCGTCCGTCCCTATGCCTTGAGCTAGCTGACATAGTGTTGGAATAAGACCTTCCAAATTGAACATATGAGTGCCATCCGTCTGACACATAAAAAAACAAAGCACAAATCTTAAATAATTAATGGGTTCCACCTAAATTAAGCATGTTTATCACCAATCCAAGTACAAAACTTACCTGACTGTTTACGAAGTCAAAAAGAGCATGACATCCTTGAATCCGCATTTCATCCTGCCTTGTTTGATCCAAGAATGTCTGTATGATGGTAAGTAAGCTACTTGCAAATAGTGGCCTGGAAGTATAAATTTCATTCATCATAATAAATTATGAAATTTTAACATTAAATATTGCATAGACAAGTCATAGAATAATTGAATTTTACTTTCAGGTGGGTATTAGGTGTGAGTGAATTTTTCGGTTTGGGTGGGCATGGGGGAAGTTCAGCAAAATGATACCAGAAAAAATTTTCTT